AGAGCCAGCGGCGCACGAGCACCACCAACCCAATGCGCACAAGAAGGAGCGGCCCGACCAGCAAAGGTGGGCGCGCGCGACGGGTAGGAGAGAGGAGCGAGCGGGGTAGGCTGGGCGCACGCGACGGCAGCACCAGCACAAGCAGAGGCGGGCACGCTGTAGAAGGTCGCGGCGGGGCGAAGCCGCGGTGGAGAGAGACGACCAAGGTGGGCGGCCACGCTTGGACGCGGTGGAGAGGAAGGACGACGGCCGGCTGGGCATATTGGAGAGAGCCGTGGTGGAGCACGCCGCACAGTGTCGTCGTAGTGCAGGGGCGCGGTGGACTAGGTGCGGACACTGCAGGATGGAAGTGTGAGGAAAGGGAAAGTGAGAACAGAGTATTCTGTAGTTTTTAGCAACACAGTGCGAGTCTGTTGGCTCGTTCGGCTGGCGTCGCAGCCCGCCAACTGCGGCGTCCGACGGATTCCTATCGGATCGGACGTGCTGACCCTAGCATTACCGATTGTTTATTGTCGTTCAGGTTGCTAGGTTTGTCCCGATGTAGACTATGTTAGTGCGTTCCTAGAGCTTCAGCTCGTCGCGGTCTAGCGCTCTAGACAATCGCTGTTGCGGCAGGCAGATTAGCGTGGAGTTTCTGTCCATTCCGGTCGTCTCTCGCGGAAGGTTGCCACGAGACAGATCCAGCTTTGTTGTAATAAACTTGTATTTATTTCCTGCTCTTAATGAATTGAAACACAAATGTGTTCTACAAAAATGGGGCTGAGAGGACATCAAATTTGCATTTCTTGCAAGACGAAGCGATGCAATAGGGTAAAAACTTAGTAGTGCAGCCCTTACTCCCATAAATCCCCTCTAAATGTTTCTAGCCATAATGAAGAGGAGAAAGAAGAGATCGAAGAGAAAGAAGAGAAAAATGGAGAAAGAGGATGGGGAAGCGAGCCCCTTCCTCAAGTCCCTGGATCCGCCTTGATGATAAATTGCATTTTTTTCGATCATTCCTACACTGTCATGTAGAACTGTAACTGTGGCTATGGTAGATCTTGTTCAGTTGAACGTGCTTTGGTTACATTCTTTCTGGCCTTCCATGGAGGTCCTTTAAGATATAAGAAATGAGGCACCAGTGACAAATCAAACATGTGAGAGAATAAAAACGAATACAAGACGATTTTGCCTTTTCTTAGAGCATCTCCACCAGATCCACGTTCTCCCTTCCCTTAAAATTTAGTATAGGGGATTGTGAAAACTAAATTGTAGTGTATAAGGGATATCTGCTCCAATAGATTGAGAAAGCCACACTGTGGGTGGGGCTTGCTTGTCATCGAGAAAACTATCTTTCTTCCTCCTCTTTCTTTTCTCTCTCCTGTTCCTCTCCATGCTGACGGAGAGGGCCTAGTGGTGGCGCAGGTGCAAGGGCGTGACTGCTCGTCAGCGCGTAGAGCATTTCGGCTCGCCCACACGGGGCACGGTTGCTCGCACGCCCGTCTGCAGATAGGTGGTGGGTGTCTACATGTCATTGAGAGGAGAAGAGAAGAATGGGGATTGAGAAAATGAGCTGGTACGTTGTGCCCCTTTCTTTGAAGGAGTGAGGGGTTGGTTTTCTCAATTGAGAAAAAAATTAGGAAAAGGCATCTAATGGAGCTTTTTTTTTCCTTCAATCATCTTTATCACTGGTTTTAGGGAATAAAGAGATCACTTATTCTCAATCTGGTGGAGATGCTCTTAATTCCATTTAGTGGGCATTTGGAGCTAGCTTTCCTATATCACATTTCACCACAGATTTTGCACTCCATCTCTCCTCTAAAGTTTGATCATAGGTTTACCCTTTCATTTGTTTTTAAAAAAAAAGAGGTTTACCCTTTGGAAGAAGTTAACGTCGCGACGGGTTGTGAGTTTGAGGAGAGCGACTTCGCCGGTGTTGTCCTCGTGCCGCCCCCACCCCCAGCTTCCACCACTGTGATGACTCTCGGCGCCATATCACCCGCCTCCCCGCCATATCACCCACCTCCCGATTGCGCCTCTCGCCCATCTAGCCCCCCCGTCCTCTCACTGACCACCATCTCGTAATCTCCCCAATCACTACCACCGCCTCCCTCGGCCACCCCTCGGTTAGTGGATTCCCATCCTAACCTTTTTTTCTTCCTCCCCATGAGTGGCGACCACCATCTCATCCATCACTATCATTGGGTCACAACCACCGCCCTCGAAGCCTCTTCTACCACCCTCGGTTAGTGGATTCCCTAACCCTAAAATCCTAACCTTTTTTCTTCCTCCCGCGCACGGATGGGTCACGTGAATGCACCAATGCACGACCCATAGGGTGATAGAGATTGCGTTGCAAGCATTTTTTTTGGCCTATAGATGCTGAGCGGCTACTATCCAGGCCGTCGAACCCTCCTCGGGATATATGCACCCATCTGACATCAGTACTCCACAGCAGTATTAATGTGTACCTCATTTAAAAGAATGGCTTGTGCTACCATCATGGAATTTGCCAATACTTTTGTCTTATAATGCAGATAATGGTACCCATATCTTGAAGAGGAAGCCTCTATATGTCGTAAAATCTAAAGGTTAGTATGATACTTGCATTTCACATTGTGTTCCATAATTCTCCATGTTTAATCTGTTACTGCTTCATGTCCTTCTCCTCAATGCCCTCCTGCTACACTGGCAGGTTTATGTAGCTAGTTTTTTTTTTTCATTTTATATCCCGCTTTGTTATTCATCTTGATATATCTAGCTACACAGTTTATGAGCATCTAAAACTAAAATTATGATTTTAGTATTGTTTTGTTTTCCAACAAATATACTGCTTATAGTTATGGTTCCTAAGATTAAAGTAGGTTGTCGTATATGCCCAGTTATGTATTGAAGAAATCTAAGTGTCAGTATAAAATCTTCTTTGCAAGTACTACTCTTTAGTTCTTCTAGTTAGAGTTGTTATGGGCTGCATGTCCTCTCTATCAGGCGCTAGATTGTATCTGAACCTACAATCATCTTTGGATTTCCATTGATCTGAGCTTATAAATTAATAGTACATAGTTGGGGTTGCATATTTGAGCTAAGAGTTAAGCACGCTTACCATGAAGATTAAAATTCTACTTGCACAAGCTAGTTTTTAGATGTACTTAACACAATTCACAATATTTGGAGTTATATCCTATTTCATAAAGGGGTTGAAACATATACGATCAGTTATGTAATAAATACAAGGGCCAAGTACCAATTCCTACTACTGTTTTATCATTTTAATTGAATGTGCGCATATATTACCATTAAAACTCTTTTGTTTTCTGCCTACCTTCATTCGGACAGATTCTTAAAATTGCTGTTATTGCACAATTCATTGCAAATACTCCTCTAAATGAAGGAAGCACATTGTCCGTAATGGTTAGCTGCATAGAAGATCAATCTAGCCGACATAGGGGAAATGTTGAATTATCATCTGAAATCTTATGGGGTTTTCCTGTTCTGTCCTTTTTTTTTTGTCTCGGTTGTGCAAATGAATTTTTCCAAACTTTTTTTTTCTTGTCCACATTCGAGATCAATCTTTTTATTAACGGCTCACCGGACCTCTTTCACTCTGTTGACAGAAGCTAGCTCTTCACCATTTCGCATTCCTACAATCCCTCTCTGCCGCAAGCTGTTCTTCCAGACCACCAGAGGTGCGCCAGGCCAGCAAGCAATGGCGCCACATGGTGCAAGCCAACTTTTGTCAATATGCTAGGACTAACGCATTATGCTAGCTCTAGCTCTATATTCTGAATATAAAGAAGTGAAGTTTGACATACTGAAACTAAAAATTATAATAGCTAGTGTCCTAGTGAGGTCTTATCTATTGGAATGACAACTTCTTATCTATAACAGCAGTAGTAACGTTGTTCCTGTTGCTGTGTACTTGAAATTGATGGCAAGGTGATGTTTGTAAGATAAGTCTAGAAACTAACATGCTGTTCTTAGATGTACCATCGAGATACTGGCAGTCCTTTTTATATATTTTTACCACTACTTAAATAAAATAAATAAACAAAAGTAGGATAAAAAGTGTTGCTTAGCGTGCCCCAAAATAATTTTTAAAAATATAAAAAACTATAAAATATGTATTTATGTATTCTTTAAATATAAATAAATAAAAAAGTGAAAATGCGTGTGAAAGATATTGCAAATAGTGCGAAGAGGGTTTATGTACTTAGAAAGGCATGTGAAAGATTTACAGGAAATAAATCAAGAAATGGGTAGAACAAAAGGTGTGTTGCAGATCGTTGGAAAGAGTAATTATGAAAAAAATATATAATGGGTGAAATAAATGAAAAAATAATGATGTACTTACTTAATCATTGAGAAATGTAAATAAAGAAAGATTAGTAAAAATGGATGAAGTATGTGGGAAAAAGGAAATGAAAAAATAGTTAACCGAAAAAATAATCGGTGTAAGACTGGGAAAGATCAAGAACTCAACAGCAGCAAAGCAAGTTGTTGTCAAAAAAAAAAAACAGCAGCAAAGCAAGTGGGTGGGCCCAAAAAATTTACTGCGAATGGTACAAACTGGTGTGAGAGTGAGAGGGGGAGGCAGCACGTGGGTGGGCCCCGCACGAAGTGGGTGCTGCTGTACTGCTGTTGTGATACATTCAAAGAAAAAAATGGAAATACAGATAGAATACAAGGAAGGGTAAAGGCGACACAGATCTCGAGATCACTGATTGACGGTGCAGATAGTAGCTGCTCAGCATATAGATGCTGCAAGACATTTTCGGATTGCGTTGCCCTTTCCCTTATTTTGAGGCACGAATTTCTTGATGTTTTAGTTTCGGCTTGCCGGGAATCCTCGGTACAGGGGGGGAAGAAAAAAAAAAAGAGGGACACGAGTGCTGCTCCCTGGAGCTAGAAAAATCTGCCTCCCATCCAATCGTACAGAGTACAGACCCACACACTGAAATTCCCCTAAAACCACCACGGACCACTTTCACCGGCGGCTCGCCGTACTCCGCCGCCGTAAACCGATGACCCCTGCATTAGGCTTCTCGCGGTCAGGGCTCCTCAACCGGCGCATCAACCAACCGGCGAATCAAGTCCTTCGCCTCCACCTCGCATTCTCCTCCGCCTCTCCGTCCCCGTCCGAGCCTTCCGCCGCCGCCGGCGGCGGCCCCAGACCACCATCAGGGAAGGGAAAGCGGAGATCTTTTTGGACGAGTCGAACTCGGTCTTCTACAACAAGGCCCAGGTCTGTGTACTTGGGATTTTTATATTCAATTTTCTAAGAACAAAATGATACTCCGTATTTTAAATGGATGTCATCGATTTATTCAAGCATGGTTTATCTTCTACTGTAGCATAGAAGCCGAGTGGTCGAAGAGCAATCTGGTACCTTTTATGTTCTCAGCGTTTAGCTCCAATTCAAATTAGGGTGCTAACGTTGCTCTTCATTTGCTATATGAACTGTGAAATTTAGACGCTTAGTGTTGTGGCTTTTTTTCTAGTACATTTCTTCTCACCAATTATTAATTTTACAGTAGTTTAGGTCCCAGAAGTTGTCTTTAGTTGTCGTGGTTTGAATTTTTATGCAAAAATGGCTTTAGAGTGGTGTTTTTGTTATGATTTATTATGATCTTAAGAGAGAGCATTTCTTGCTAGGTTAACAATAGAGATATTTCTATTGCTGTACTGAGATCATTTATTTTGAAAAGACATGAAGAATATGCCACCCGATCAAGAAAAGGTATTGAGCTCGCACCAGTACCGATATTTTACTTGTACACCAGTATACTTCAACTGCTTCCGACTGGGCAGCAATACTGAAATACTGCAAAATATGATAGCAGGAACAGAAGACACTACATTGAGCGAGCAAGCTAAGTATAAAGAGCCGAAAGTTCTTGAGGTGGGTTTTTTTTGTTTACTGCTACTATTATATGGTTATATACCCCCAACATTTAATTGGTAATTAGTGCAATATTTCGCTTTTTTAATCCCTTTGTGTGTTTCTAGTGATGCCTACTGTAATGTCTGTATGCTGTATTCTTATATGCAGATATGATTGATAGATCGTTACAGAATTTATGATTAGTTATGAGTTTATATGATGTCACCATATATGTTTGAAAGGAAAGGATATCTGTTTCTACTGTTCCTTGTGAAATAATTTGCTTCTAATTTGATTCATCTTAGCTTTCAGTAAACGATCAAAGTGCTGCTGGCATAACAGTGCTGATCCTAGTCCTAGTCTTATTATTTTTGCAGGCGTTAGCTGCATCAGGACTAAGAGCCATTAGGTATGCTGTTGAGGTAGATGGAATCGGTGAAGTTACTGCTGTTGACAATAATGAAGGTGCACTGGTTTCTTTCAGCATCAGTATTGTAGATATTTTATAGACTGAAGTACAAAGCTTATATTTTATTAGACTGATTCGAAATACTTGCTAAACTGTAGCTGCTGTAGAAGCCTGCAAGAAAAATATACAGCACAATGGCAGTCTTGCATCTTCAAAGGTGGTACCACATCACGCTGATGCACGTGTCTACATGCTCATGCATCCAAAAGAATTTGATGTGGTACTACCTTCTTTCTATTTCCATATGTGCTTTCTTTTTTTCAGCACCACTGGTACATGGTACCCTACCATCCTTCGACTTTCTCAAAGATGGCTGTGGCAGGCAAGGAGGCAGGGGCGGAGCCAGAAAGGCAGAAATTACTGATAGGAGGGGCCAAGTGCTCAAAAGATATGTTATTAGGGGAGACAAATCAATATTTTGTACTAAATTATATAGCAAAATATCATCTGCATAAGAGAGATTCATCTAGCATAGGGGGTGCTTGGCCCCCCTCAGCCTCCCACCCTCCGCCCCTGAAGGGAGGGCCCCTATAAGCACCGAGCAGCCACACACACACACAAAGTAGGACATAGGGCTTTTCTCGGACCAGGAGCCTGAACCTGGGTAAATTGTTCCGTGCTCTTAAATTTCTCTGCCACTTGTGGACGCTTGATTATTCTTCTTGCACAAGTACTTCTTGCCAATGGAAGTCTCCACAACATTTCAAGAATCAAGATTTAAGAGATAGAAGTGTTGATAGTTTTTCTTGGTGTATTGGTAATTGAATTATCAAAATGCTGTACTATTTCAACTGAAACTTTAACACAGATAATAAAGAACTAACAAAGTTCTCTTTCCTTTTCAAAGTTTATAGAACCAGTTTAAGTTTTATCATTTGTGTTTATGTGACATTGAGTAGTCAATGCCGCACATATAGAAATGTTGATATTTTTTCTTGAGATCCTTCCTGTCTACCCTTTTTCCTAATCAGTTTTAACAAGGTTTTTCTAGATTACCTTCTATAGGTTATTAACCATGAATTTAGTTTCTGTCAACACAGCATGTGTGCATCTTTAGGTGATCATTTTCTCGAACTACACAGGAGAGCTGCGCGATCTTTAGGTGATCATTAATTAATAACACACAGCACATAGGACAACAATGTGTTATTGGAATCCTAGTTGACATAAACCCTGGCATGGATTAGAAACATTGCATGCAGTAATGTGAACAACCTCATAATATTATAAGACCTGGTGGGTTTAGAAGGAGCAGGTTGATTTGAAAGTTTGTTTGCTAGTTTAGAATTCAATATGTACATTTCTACCCCTTTAAAAGCCTCTCACATTGCAGTTTTGCACTGGTCTGTCTTGCTAGCTAACTTAATTACTCAAACAAGCACAGGAAAAGCCATGTTTTTAATGTTAGCTAGCAAAAATAACTAGAAGGGGCCAGCCTGCCTAATGCTCTTGGTTGCGCTAGAGGGAGGGAGGTTTAATATTAGGAACATTGTATCATGGAAGTGCTATTGGTGACGAATTTACATTTTTTCAGTTCATATGACTGATTTAGATATTTGATTACATAGTATTAAATCTGTGGAAATTTGTACCACAAGGAAGCGACAGAGGCATTTACTAACGGAAGGAGTGAATTGTTCAAATCATGTAATGTACCTGTCACGTATTTGCCACCTGCAAATGGCTCATTCTGATTTAAGCATAAGGAAATAATATGGGTTGACATGATTTGAATTATGTCCTAATGTCCTATACATGCTGAATCAGGTTGACCTTGATCCTTATGGATCACCAGCTGCATTCCTTGATTCGGCGGTTCAATGTGTAGCAGATGGGGGTACCTTGATGTGCTCAGCTACAGACATGGCAGTGCTTGCTGGTGGAAACGCAGAAGTTTGTTTTTCTAAGTGAGATTTTCAGTTTCAGAATTAAATATGAATTGCTATCTGCAGGATTTACTGGAGTTATACTCATGATACCTGCCATATGCACTTGCAGGTATGGTTCTTATCCATTAAGAGGTAAACACTGCCATGAGATGGCGCTGAGGATTCTTCTTGCCTGCATTGAGGTAAGCCATGAGATTGTTTTCTCGTGCCCCCATATATATTCATGATGAATGATCTTGAGCTTGATTTCCTGTGTTCCTATATGTTCATGATGATGATCTCGGTTACATTTTTCTTGTTGCCTTGCAGTCACATGCAATCCGTCACAAGCGCTACATAGTTCCTATAATATCAGTACACATGGATTTCTACATTAGGGTTTTTGTGCGAATCTTCACGTTGTTTCCTGCTTCCATCTTTTCCTGATACATTCTTTTCCTTATGGTGAAGATGTGTTGTTTTCTCTATGATGGTACTTTTTTGGTATCTAATAACATATCTTTACCAATGTTCCTTATTCTATTCAGCTCGGCTAGTACAGTAAAAAGCTCACCACTCAAATTGGCACATGTTTACCAATGCACTGGATGCAATTCATTTCACCTACAAAATATTGGAAGAATTAATTCAAAGGTAGTCTTTCTTATCTTCTTTTATTTGTCTTGCATGTTTTTAATGTTATAATCATTTGATCCAGGATGAGAGAAACATTGCTGTACCAAATTTTTGCCCTACTGTGCCTGAAGTATGTTCTGAATGTGGCCATAAATTTGTTATGGGGGGACCTATTTGGAGTGATCCAATACATGACAAGAAATGGGCTACCTCAATATTATCAGATATTCATGCTATGAGAGAAGCATATCCAGCTTATCCAAAAATTTCGGCTATACTAACGTCAGTCTCAGAGGTAATGCCCTTTTCTTCTGCTGTACACAGTGCAACTGACATAGATGGGAAAATTGGAAGGATCGATCTTGTAAGTTGGTGTTAGATAGAATAGGCTATGTTATGTATGGTAGATCTGTAGATGTACCAGGAAATTCTTGTCCAGCTACATTCCATCTTGATACATAACTTTGTTTTGTTTTGTTCTCAACATGGAATGCTTCCTTGTATTCTTGCATCTTCTGCCTGACCAAGTAGGTGATCTCTTCTGAGGGCAAATTTTTTTCACTACCTGCTGCTGGCTCACCACCATTAACAAATAATATGATAATTTTTGTCTCTCTGTTCTTCAAGCTCCATAAATCTTTGACAACATATGATACATTTTTATGGGCATAATTGCCGCCTGGACACCAGTTTGTGTCATTTATTGGATGAATGAAAAACATTTATCTATTCCAAGGCGTTTTCACTGTTTAGACATGTTTGAGTGATGTTGAGTTCTATTCAGGAGTGCCACCAATCATTTTCTAATCCATCTTCTTGTCTTATTTTGATTTAACTAAAGGAACTGGCATCCTACAATTAATACATGTGAATCTGAGACGAATAGACGATCCCTCTATCAGTCTCCTCCCTTATTCCTCACATGTGGAGCCATCATTGAACTGGGTATGCCTCTGTTAGATATTACTGTAGAAACTGAATGATTATTAAACATCTGCCTAGATGAACTGGATCGCTTGTTCCTGTTCTTTATTCCTGTTGCACCTGGTCCACTCCCCAAGGCTGTCAGTTTCTCCACCAAATTGTAGTACAAATATCTCAAAGATTATGGTCAGAATGTAATATTTGCTCCTCTCCTTTCCTTTTATCCTTATTTAAAAGCATATGGCTGACATACAAGGAGCTAGTCACATATCCTCTTTCTTGATTCTTTAGAGTCTACTGTCAGCGGGATCTACTGTCTACTATCACTTTTGTGACTTTAAAATAGTTTCATTAGCTCCTGAAGTAAATGCAATTAGATGAGATAATATCGAATAAAGAAATAGTAGAATTTGTCTCACATATATGATATATGCTTTAAATTCAATGATTCAAAGAAAAATGAAGACATGCTGATTATACAAAAATCGTGATGGACCTAGAGTTAGAGGTTTCTCTCTCCGCCCTGTTGGAAACAATGTTGTAAATTTCTAACTTAAAAAAAGAGCTAACCTGAAGTGTCCTTGAAGGTCAAGGTTTTGATTCTTTTTGACACAAATGCCACGAATTATGATGGCTGTTATTACTTTTTCCTTTCAATATCAGGCACTGAAATAAAGAATGTTTGTTTTTAGTCCAAGTTAAATATACATGTAAACATTTTCACATCTATGGATTAATAGTTCCATAGATACTTATGGTACTTGTGGATTGATGAATCATGTTGCATGTTTTCATGCAGGAATTGCTGGAGGCACCTTTATTTGTGAGTCTTCATAATTTGTGTGCAATACTGAAGTGCACTAATCCAACCATGGTTATGTTACAATCTGCTATCAGAAATGCTGGGTATCAAGTATCAGGAAGTCATGTGGATCCACTAGCTCTTAAAACAAATGCCCCAATGTCAGTGATCTGGGACATCATGCGATGCTGGGTATGATTCATTTCTTTGTTTTATCTAGGCTAATCAATCATGTTTGGCTGATTGATTAGTAACATTGTTTTGCAGGTTAAGCTTCACCCAGTTAAACATCGACCTGGAAATCATCCAGGCAATGTGATACTTTCCCAAGAGCCTAAATTGCAGGTAGCTGATAAATCACAGTTTTGCATCATTTCTTTGAAAAAATTGTGTGAAAAAAGTTATTATGCAAAAGCAGCAACCTCTGTATAGGACAACTAAGCTGCATATTATGAACTTGGTTCATTAATGGGGTAAGCACTACTGGGAAGATACCCGGACGGCGTTGACTCCTTAGAAGGGGAGTAGACTTGGATTGGGGTGACATGCTTTTTTGTAGAAGATCTAGTCAGTCTGGCTAATCAAAATGTTAATAACCCCTTATGAACAAAGTGTAGAAAATCAACATCAGTTTGTAGCCGCCCTTTATACTAAATTATCTTCTCCATCTGTTCGGACCAGCCCTTTGTATTGGGGCATTTTATCTGTGTTTCTGATTGGCTTAGTTGGTGTGAGGTTGACACCCTCGACGGTCAGGTGCCATGCCAAATTGGCAACTTGGTGGCTGGTGTCTAAGGAGAAATGTTGCGTTAGGGAATGAAAAACTGTGGTCAGGAAATTGAGGGACTTCTTTAGTGATCAAGTATATGGGAATGGGATCAGTACTCTCCATGTAGGGAGTTGACTTGAAAAGAGAGAAACAAACAGCCTAACTCAGGCTGGCTGCTCGTCTTGAGGGGCTGCCCCTGGGATGGGCTCATTTGGATTGATGCCCAAGCCTGCCCATCCAAAAATTGGCCATTGACCGTAGGCAGGATAGTAGTTTGGATCCCAGCCGCATTTTGGCTTGCCCAGTATCACGTGGCCAACATGTAGTTCATTTTCTGGCCAATGCATGGCCGATTCTTGGGCTGGCGATTCGGTCGCCAAAGTTTGGCTGGCCAACTATTTGGCTTGGCACAGAGTGGCGTCAATCCAGCGCGCCCTCAAATGCCTAATGGCCAAGGTACATGTAGGCTCTGAAAAGTAATATTAACCATAGTGGCCACAGTTAAGCTTGAGCTGAGCTAAGAGCTCTGTAGCTGACTACACAACTTCTCCGCATGTTTAATTTGATTTCTGAAAGATAATTTTAGGAATAAATATTTTTTCGGGATGCTTAAATTTTCCTTGTTCTTGATTCTGGTTTCTTCTAGTAATTTTTGTCAAAGTCATATTTGTCATGTGTAATTTTTGACATGTTTGATGAACCAAATTTCCTCTTGCTATTATAATAATCATTCAGAAAAAAATAGGATGGAGTTAACATTTGTTCCTCATTTAACATTTTCATTATTTTGTTTTTTTGAATTACTGCCAGGCAAAATTTTCCAAAGTACCTCAGGCCTCAGTCACTCGGAAGAGCCCAAGATTCATGCCAAATCCTGAGAAGTATTGGGGTCCTGGGACAAAGGCTGGTAGGCATCCGAAAACATTTCAGATGAATAATAATCGTAACTGACAAGATCTCCACGCCAGAAGATGGACAAGGGTGTTTGGAGCCAAGCATCATACAGACTTCTGGCTGGCAAACCGTGTTTGTAGGTGTGAAAAGTACACTAGCTTGTCTGAATGTTACGCTTTAACCATAACAGAAATATCCAAATCTGAGGCACAGTTCATGATACGCTCATTGGCGAAGCTTCAAACCTAGCAATGTGCTGGCAACTGATATTGGCAAAATTTGAAGTAATAGTAGTTTGCCACTTAGTAGTAGTAGCTATTTTCTTTTGCGCTTACCTTGTAAGATGGAATCCCACTAAGCTCATGTACTATTTACTTGCTTTCTTATCTTATATAAAAACAGAGTTGATCTCTGCCAAAAAAAAATGACTTGATGGAGAGCATATGTATCATATGTTTTGACAAATGGCAAAAAGAAGTCCATATATACAAGCACGATAGACGAAAGATTTCACTAAACTTTATGTTGAAGGATCAATTTCCTTATCACGGCTTCTATGCTTGATGTGACCTAGCCCTGCACTCTCGGCTCCTTGCAATTTTCTTCCTCTCTACTCCAACTGCCATGTAGGCCCACGTGGTCTGTGCGATGGGCCCATGGCAAATGCCCCCTATGTTTCTCACCCAAGTACCCAACGCTGCCTAGTTTGGGCTCCTCAGGCAATAACGATCCGCTTTAGATTTTTGGTATCACAGGTGACAGGACAGTCCCAACGTATAGTTCCTACCTGTAGTTCTAGAAGAGAGTGCAATTCCACAAGAGAGAGAGTTTCTACCTAACCATTCCAATCCCGCAAAGAGAAATAGTTTCTTATATGGCAGTTTCTTTTGAGAATAAAATTTAATTAGCACTTCACACACCACAAACACACGATAATCAACTGTGGTAATGTAACCCTTGGCATAGTATGCTGCCACATCTCAATGTTGGTAAATAAACAAATAAAGCAAAGACTTCGTATGTTTTGACAATCACCATAATACAAACTAAGTTAAATAACCCTAAGCTGTCCATTAATAATAATAGACGTTTAGAATGTCTAAAATAAGTCAGTCAGCGCTTGGACGTCTTTCTCATCTGGAAGAAATGACATATCCATGTAATCGCAATGCGTAATATTAGCCTGATCAAAGAATCATCGCATAATGTCGGGCGAGGTCATACGGAGTCAAATAGCTCCTTGTCAATTGTCATCTGCAGTTGAACATCTCCATCTCCGACATGTATCTTGTACTGAAAACTACCTTAGCTAGGGTAGATATATTGCTACACGTCAGCAGTCTCGTATGGCGTCTCATGCAGTGCCACGTAGAATTTTTGCTGATGTGGAGGGAGGAAAGAGTAAGAGGTCGTTGTTCCACGAAACAACCAACTCATGAGCTAAAATTTAGAACTATGAGACAACTATTTTACCATTGTATGAATTGTTGTTGCCATGCAACTCACAACTTTATTTTTATTGAATGCATAAATTAAAGAATTGTAAGTTACTACGAGATAACTTAAAAACAACCATCGTACATGTTGTCTATTAAGTTGTTTTAAAATTATATGGCACTATATGAAACCATCTATAAGACAAGATCAATGTATTGAAAATAAGAACAGAGGAAGCTGCATCGGCACCAATTCATTGGCAATCACAGAGCTCTGCTGACTTTGAGGAGACCTCATGGAGCACCGCACCACAGCTCATTCCATTTGGCTTGCCGGCCGTACATCAATTCATTGGCAATCACCAGGGGAGCGTTTGGTTGCCTGCATCAGCCCTCAGCCAGGCTCTGTAGGTGCGAGAACAGGTATTTGTTTGGTTCGCATGTCTGTCGGACCAGGCTATGCACGTGCACCCCCCCCACAACACACCCCGCAGCCAGGCTACGAAGGAACACAGAAATTGGTCGTTTCTGCTGGCCAGGCTCGCGTGGTGCAGGTAATTAGCCATCTAATCACGCTATTAATGCATTATTAGCACATATTAAATGATACTAACATATTTTCATTAATATTTAAGGAGTAATAAGATAAACTAAGAGCTATAAGATAATAGTTGCCCGTAATAAATGTCATGACGATGATTATTTATATATTTTTATCTCATGCAACCCGTCCTCATGTGAGCAACCAAATAGGTTCTCGAGACAACCTAGCTCGTGCAAACAGGCAACCACACTCTTGCATGCATTGGACCTGGCTATTGGGAGCCAGCCTCCTCTCATGCGAGCCGGACTGAGTTCATACGCAAACCAAACAGGCCCTAGACGTGCGTTTTCTTCCTCAACGTTCGGAACACCCCAGTGTATTATTGAGTTTAGGTTGAGGATTTTTTAATAAGAAAAACATTGATATTTTTTAGTGACCACAATATCTTTATTAGTTAATAAACGAGGCGTCGCTCGAAACGGGCCGGTAACCCAGGGTTGGACTGATAGTTGGAGGGCGATCTTGCCCCTAGACCGCACCGGGACGCAGGCCAACGTGGAAATATTTCCGCTAGCAATCGCACAGGCGAAACTAAGCGTGAACTGTTGCTGGAACAGTCCCATGGTAGCCACGAGGGTTCTGGGTTGGAAAACAAAGAATTTGATATGATATAAGACTAGAAGGCAATCATCAGAAAAAGACAAGATTAATCCCAACTTGAATAAGCATAGTACTGCAACATACATAAGCCCAACTTTTATTTCTATACACTACTTACCTTATTTAGCTGCCTTCAAAATCATTTTTTGAGCCACTTCTACTTGATCTTGGCGTCCTGAAATTTGTAAACAGTGATCACTAGGGTGATTAAACTGAGGCATTCTCTACAAAAATAAGCAACAATCCCTAGATAGACCAACTGTTTGTCTTAACATCAAGCTTTTACTAGTAGTGATAGATCATACTAACCTCAATGCAAGCACTATAGACGTGGCATGGATATATGCTCCATTGTGTTAGTTTGCTTTCATGTCAACAACTTCAAATACACAGGAGAAGAGACATACATCATTGTTAAGGTATAATAGTCAGAAAGTATTAGTGTAATCTCCTAGTCTAGAATTTTCCTCCTGTGTTCATCATGTACTCTATATATAGTCCTTATGGGGTCTCAATATTATCATCCACTTGAGTCTCTATTTATTCGTAACATGGTATCAAAGCTCTAGGTTTTTTATCCAGCCACCATCCTTTGCTGCGCTGTCCCCGGGAAGATCGATCTTTATTCCTTGGGGCAGACTTGTCGATCTTTGATTTTTTTTTGTGTCCACTCAAGTCAATGACCTATATTTTTCTATTTGTGACCATTCAATTCCCGTAGCGCATCTCCGGTTCATCCAATCCATGCGTGTCCACAAATTTTATCAGGTCAGCCAATCTTTTTTTTGGTTAGCTGAGTCCCCGTGATTTAGCTAATCATCGTCATTATTGATGCGACTATACCATCTTGGTCTCTTTTGTAGCCCATTTTTCTACACTTCATGATCAATGGTCGTTTATTTGTCGTCATCACCATTTTATCCTAATGTGTGCTGTCTTGCAGCAGTGATCTCTCTGTGCTTCCTTTGGCTTGATTTGACACATCTATATTATCGTCGATTTTAAAAGTTTACAAATCAAGGATCATTATTGAAGAGTTAAAAAATTGTTTTGTGAAGACTTGCGGTGTTTACTGAAGTATGGGTGTGAAAGGCAATACCCTCTTGTGGAGGAGATCATTTTCTACATCGATATTGTTCAAGAGTTGCATGCTTCGACGACATCTTCTATTTTGGATTTTGGATGTAATTCGTCTACTTTATTTTTCAAGTCTAGTGCATAGTGTCAACTCTCCAAATGAAATGACATTGCATTCACACGTTGCATTTGAGAGGCGGTGTTATGGGATAATAGCTAGGGGTATTAGTGTAATCTCCTAGTCTAGGATTTACCTCATATGCCCATCATGTATTCTATATATAGTCTCCATTGGGCCTCAATATTATCATCCAGTTGAGTCTCTCCTTATTATTCATAACAATCATTACCTTCTCCTTTGTATCCTCCTGCGAAGCAAAATTAAGAGAAGTGTGAAAAAGCTCATCAATATGCACATAAACATTTGTGAAATAACTAAACCACCTCTTCGTTATAGTTGTGGAGCCTTTGCAGTTCAAAAGTCTGAACATAATATGTTTCTTTTAACTCATCATCTCTGCATTCTTTAATGAACCCAACTCCTGACATATAGATATAATATATATCTATGAACTATTCATTTAGATAAAAACAGAGGTCACAAAAAAACACATCCATACCTTTTTATGAAGACACATTACATCAAACATTGTCTTTAAGTGAAATCAGACATCTGTGGTTGGTAACACCAATCATGGACTTAGTTTCTTTTGATAAAATAAATATCGGATCTCCAATCACTGAAATAACATCACCATTAGATATAAGACATTTTAGTTTTGCTAAATTTATAATAAAGAAAAATTACTACCAATCGAATCCATGATCATCCATCATCATCGTAGCTGTTGTGTTTAGCAATAACCAAATCCACTGACAAGATAGCCTTAGTGGCTGTTACTTCCCAATTTATGTAATCAAACTTAGACAAGCAGTACCCTCACTGTTGCACATCATCCACTTCTTTTATTATTGATCTAACCAACCTCTTCATTCTTCATTCTTTCTGCTACAATCCAGTACAGCTCTGAAGAATATTCACTGATCAATCTCTTTCCTCACTCATTAGGATTGCGCTAAAAAACATCCGATTCCATGTAATTCCATAGCAAAATTGATCCATCTATTTGTTGAACCAAAGGCTGATGAAAGCACCACAATAAGTGGAGGATCTAGGGACATGGATAGATAAGTAGAAAGCAATTGCTAGGCCATTAATGCCTAGGGCCATATTAGATTCGGTCTTTAATTTTTGAAAGTGCATCTAGGCCTCCAAGTGGGTTTTGGTGGTTAGAGACACGGATAGAAAAGTAGAAAGCTATTGCTAGGCCATCAACGCCTAGTGCCATTTTAGATTCGGTCTTAATTTTTGAAAGTGAATCTAGGCCTCCTAGTGGGTTTTGGTGGTTGAATGACAAATAATTAAAGGACTAATGAGTTTGATAAGTTTATGAATAGGTTTCATTAGAAATGCAAACTCATGATATTGCTCAAATAAAGAAGAAGCAAGCATATTTGGCATATTGTAAATGAGACATGAGTGATTGCATATGGATTGGTCTCGTATGGAAAGCTTGTTGTATCTAGAATGATGATATGAGATTCCATATTCATCAAAGGGCAATAATGACTTGGTCATCACATTGATGGTGTTCATATCTAAGGAGGAAGAAAAATGATTAAGGTCATTGCATTTCAAGAAAGGAACAAATTCAAAACTTGATTGATCTTAAGGTTTATATCAAAAGAATTCAATCAAGAATTACAATATTGAAGAAATTGTTTTCAATGTGTGCTCAAAGTTTTATCAAATCGTTATGTGGCTTGGGATGGCTTGAAAGGTGAAGATAGCAAGGAAAGGGCTTCAGGGAACTAAGCAGAGGTGAACGGCAGGCGATGGCTTGGGCGCCAATGAACCAAGGCTAGGGTGAAGAGTAGAGTACTTGCATTAAGTCTTGCACAAGGCAACCTATGAGAAGTCATATTAAATTATGAGGAGGGTCAAATCATTGTTGAATTAAATTGAAAAAGTGACCTGATTCCATTAAGTGGAATCGTATGTTTAGAAATGGTTCGAGTCACATGCTCAAGGCGGATTTGCTCAAAGGAATGAGACAAAGATTGTTGTCACCCTCAAATGTCGAAGATTGAAAGAAATAACATATGAGGAGATTGAAGACTCAAGTGGTGGAAATAGATATATCCTTTTGATCTTGACTATAGGTATGTCGTACTATTGATAGGGATGCAACATGAATAGTTTGATAAGTATCAAGTGCTCAAACTAACCAAAACCTGAGTGCTAACATGAGAGGAACACATGTCACAACACTTTCACATGTTGATCTTGGGGGCTTGTCCTTTGTTGGGATGGATAGCCCTCTGATAAGCTATCCGGAATATCTAAGATCATCGAAATCAGAGTTCGGAGCTAAACGTTATGTGTGTTTTAGTTTTCATGCTGAAATCTGAGAGCTCTGACCGGAGCTCCGGTGGTCTAGAAAATAATCGAATTTTTATTTGTTCCAGACTGCGAGCTCCTACTGGAGCTCCGGTTCTACAAACGGAGGTCTAGGATTTATTTTAAAATTGAGTCTTTTTAAACCCAAACACCTGGTCCGAAGGTCCCGTAGGCCTAATCGGAGCTCCTGTTCTGCACTAACAGTTTTGCTTTAGGATCTGGTTTTCCAAAGCTCCGATCCTCACCGGACGTCTAGGATCTGGCGATTCAACACACTAATGGTTGGATCTGAGAGGGTGTGTAAGGAAAATGGACCCTAGGCCCATTTACTTTGGATTTTGGTGTTTGATGACCAACACAACTAAATTGGATTAATGAATTTGCAAGAGATTATTTTGTAGTTCAATAGGGTGCAAGACGTGACTTGGACGAAGGCGACGTGATGATCCAATGATCAACACCATAAGCAAGACCCTAGAAGCACAAGAGAAGACCCAAGATATCAAGCAAAGTCCAAGCACGAAGATAGGAACCAAGCCGGACGCAAGATCACGAAGAAACTAGCTCACAGTGGTGACCGGACGCAGTGATCGGACGCTGGTCTTACAGCGGTCGGACGCTCTGATCAAGAGACTCGGTAGCAGCAGGCGTCAGCAACAGCGACTAGACGCTGAACAGTAAAGTGACCGGACGGACCGATGATACTGTTCATCATCACCGGCAACACACTCAGTACTGACCGGACGCTGGCGGCAAATCGACTGAACGTAGAACTGCAGCGTCCGATCGAGTACAGAAAGGTTCCAGAGCGGCGAAATTGCGACCGGATGCCAGTAGCGTCCGATCAGTTGATCGCGGCTTTAACGGTCGGGACGACCGAACGCGTCCGATCAGGACAACCTGAGTGTCCGGTCAGTAGCAGAAAAGCAGGATTTCGTCCCCAACGGCTACTTTCTCAGTGGGGCTTATAAATAGACCCCCCCAACCGGCCATTTGATGTGTGTGGAGCTGAGGAAACATATCTAGGGTGTTGATACACCATTTTAGTGATCTCCACTTGTATAGTGCTTAGTCATTCATTAGGTGATTAGCGTAGGTGCTTTGCGAAGTGCTTAAATTAATTAGACCACCGCTTATGCGCTTGGTCTAGGTTTAGGCCTAGTGTTTAGTGAGGTTTTGCATACCTCTTATCACTCGGTGCTTGCGCGCACCATTGTTGTACATCGGAGGGGCTTGTAGTCTTGCGAGATCACACCAACCACGTTTGTGGTGTGGCCGTCACCGTGTACCAGAGCGAACAAGGCCCGTGGCTGTTCGGCCGAAAGCTTGATAGTGAAGACGGCGGGGAGCAGTCCAGGAGAGGCTTGCCGGAAGACACACCGGAGACCCACTTGCGCGTGGGGAGGCCCGGGGCTATCCACGAAGTTACCCGATCGGGAGCTTGGCCCTTGCGAGGGATTCCTTGTGAAGGGCTCCAACGAGGACTAGGAGGAAGCTTGCGTGCTTCTCGGTATCTCGGTAAAAATACCGGAGTCGTCGATGGGAGTTTGCATATCTCTACCTTGCTCTTTAGCTTTCGCATTTACATTGTTTACATTACTCCTTTTGCGGTAGAGATAGCAACACACTAGCAAAACCATAGTTGCATATTTAGACAGTTTATCTTTTGCATAGGTTTTGCTAAGGTTAGAAAAAGAGGTCATAGCTTAGAAGTAGAATTTTAAGTTGCCTAATTCACCCCCTCTTAGGCGTCACGGTCCCCAACATGGTGGTATTTGTACTCCTCTCTCTCTCTCTATCCATAACTCTTCTCCTATCTTGAGCCAAAACATCTGTGCGCCATTGTTACTCCTCTCCCCTCTCCCTCTTTGTGAGGCTTGTGCAAGTGGTGAGAAATCTAGAGAGTTGGGTTGAGAGATTGGGTGTTTGAGAGCAAGAGAGAGCAATCCTACCCTTGAGCACTTGTGGAGCTTGTTCATCATCTCATGTAAAGCATTTGTTACTCTTGGTGCTTTTCTCTGAGACGGCCTTGGTGGTTGCTGGCGAGTCACCAATTTGTGGTTCACAGCCAAATTGTTATAAGAGGGGTTACTCCCGCTGAAAGATGAAAGAAGACTCCTTAGTGGATTGGTGGAAAGAGGTTGCTTTGGACGTGACCACGAGTAGACCTTGTTGAGTCACGGCTTCCACAACGGAGATGTAGGGCTCACTTGATGAGGCCCGAACTTCGGTAAACAAATCAGGTGTCTTCTCTACTTGTCTCGTGTTCTTGTTGGTCATATTTACTTTTGGGCGATTCGCCCCGATCTACTCGTATTTGTGATTTTGTTTGTAGGTTTTGCAAGGAATCAACTCACTACATGTCTAGCAGCCTTTGGTAACAGGTAGAATCAATTTTATAAGTGTAATCTTTGTCGATTTGTGTTCTTCACGTCACCAGCGCACCGGACATCCGGTCTAGACCAGATTTGGTGCAGACCAGATTTCAGGTTCAGACCAGACCCTCTGATCCAGAAATAGTTTTAGAAACTACGTTTTTTTTCATGAACGCCTATTCACCCCCCCCCTCCCCCGCGCTCCTTAGGCGACATCTCAGTCCTTTCAATTCTCAAGGGCTCTAGGCCCAAATCCCCCTCTCTGTACGATCTGCGAACTTTAGGTCGCCGCATGTGGCATGTCCCCAATCTTTTACTGTTTTCCTCTACAACGTCCCATTTGGAATGAATTGGTTGGATCCACACAGTTTTCACTTTTTACCTTTATTTTCCTTTTGTTTTTTTTAAATAATCGACCATTTTTTCTTCTATATACTATGAATATTTTTTTAGATTTAGGGGCGTTTGGAATAGAGAAATGGATCCGTTTCGGATGGAAACACCAGAAACGACACCAAACAAATTTCCTGGAAACAGAATCAGGTCGGTCAAGGCCCTGCTGGCTGATCGATTCCGAAACGTGTCTTCTCCGTTTGTATATGATAATAACATGGGAAATAAATACTTACTCAACTCTAACTGCACGTATTGCGTGGTGCTACATGCATCCGATCCGGACGGTGGCCCCACCTAGCTACCAAATAAACCCTGAACAGGAGGAGATCACAGCACGTAAGCCAGCCCCAGCGGCAGCTTCGCGTAACAGCATGCTTCAACTTTCGTGTCTCTCCGGTCTCGGCAAACTTGACGTCGTCGCGGACTGCGACGCCGACGGCTCGTGCGGCGGCGGCGGCGACCCGTGCCTCCTCCACAGCGAGCTCTGCTGCCCAAATGATTCTCTGGACGACGACACCGTTGTCATAGAAATCATCCAGGACGAAGAGTTGTTGAAGGACCTCGCCATAGCCGCGTCGCTGCCGCCCACCACCGGACACCGCAACGAGAACATCAAGTCGGGGTGCTGGTGGGGCGTTTCCTCTGCAGGTGGCACGCCACCGGTGCACGCCACGCTGCTGGACAACAGCTTATGGACGGCATGGACTACGACGTCATCCAGTTTGGCGGCCGAGCCGCCGCCGGCCGTCTCGCGGCTCGTCGTGCCGAGTAGGAAACGGGACAGGTCCGTCATGCGCGACACGCGGTCGTGGACGTCGTCGCTGGACATGATGGCAAGCATCCCTACACGTCGCCGTAGCCCTAACAACTGCCGCCGCGGCAATGGAGTCCGGCAGCAGGGCCTCGTGTCACGCCGGGGGAGCAGGCGACTTCAGAGGGCGTGCAGCCGCTGCGACAGCCGGGAGACGCCGCACTGGCGTGCGGGGCCGGACGGGCCAGGCACCCTGTGCAACGCGTGCGGCATACGGTACACGCGCCAACAATGCAAGCTATTGCCGGAGTACCGGCCGTCGGCGAGCCAGAGCAGGAAGCAGGCGTGGTCAAGCTAAGAGAGAAAAGGCAAAGATACGGTAGTCGGCCGGCATGCCACCGTACGAAGCTAGCCGGCCGTGTTGTTTCAATCGATTCCGAATTGGTTCCAATTTTATGAGGCACAAATTTTTATAACCCCTGACATCTCCCCTCTATATACCACCATAAAAAAAAAATTCGTTTAGAAGCTGAACACACGATATGATCACATCGAGAGGCAGAGCCTTGAAATACAAAATTTCCTTTGTTAGGAGGGACCGACAGTACAATTTTCACTAAAATTTGATTGAGTTCAAAAATTTTCCTGCAATCGTATATCCTTTCACACGCCCATGTGTGCCTACCCTTTCCAAATATATGCTCCTAATAAACAATATGAACGGCAGTTAGTTACGTATAGTAATAATACGTGTGAACACTTAGGTTTATCTCGAGTAAAATACATGAGCGGACTCTAAACTTGTCCTCAGGTGTCATTCAGTACCAAAACTCTTAGAATGCTCTTTAGGCCCCAAACTTGTCTTTTTTGTGTCATCCAAATTCCACACTTTTGAAATGTTATTTTTAGGTTTCCAGACTTGTCTCAATGTGTCATCCAAATTCCCAAACTTGCCATAGTATCAATTAGGTCAAAATAGACCCGATCTACACTCTGCATCATGACACCACATGCCATAAAAGTTGGATCCACACCTTATTATTATCGATTAGCAAACGTGCCCGTAAGTTACAATGGAGACCAATACGTATAGGAATCAGATTCCATGTCATTGCTAGTTGTATAACTCGTATAAACGCGGGCATGAGTCCAGGTCACATACGAGATATGCTAGGGCGTGGTCCAATACGCATTGGAATCGAATTCCGTATTAATCATCGCTAGACGCGAGTTATCCTAACTCGTATGAGTATTGCGTCACTAGCTAGTCCAAGTCATATACGAGACACCGAGGGCATGAATGCACGGAAGAAACTGTCTACTACGCAGGTAGTTAGGGGGATGTGGACGAAAAATTGGATGGTGAGAAATTAGATATAGATTAATATTAGGTATAGAAGATATAGACTAGGGTAGGAACTTATAATGGTAAAACAATTGTTCGTCTACCTCATCCGCTTAAGGAGCACTAGCTTTGCCCTTGCCATGTGCACACCATTACTGGAGACGTCACGCGATGTAAAAAACTGTAATATCCACCAACTGGAGGCGTCATGTCCTTTGATGTGGAAGATGAAGGCATGGATCGAGGACAACGAGTTGGTGACTATGATAGATTGGAACACGAAGAGAAGGGAAGAGCATGGAGATGGAGGTATCTAGAAGAGAGAGGAAGAACATGTAGATGGAACGCTAACATGTGGGATGGCTGGAGTTTATTTGGACCTAGATGATACACTGTAACAAATTTGAGGACGTAAAAATGAAATTTAAGAGTTTTGGACCTAGATTACATCCTAAGATAAGTTTGGCCACCTAAAAATGTATTTTGAACGTCCGAAACTTGAGCAACATCACGAGACAAGATTAAGAGTCGTTCATGCATTTTACTCATTTATCTTCCTTCATGCCCAACCCAATCCCGTGTAATACGGCCAAGCCAATCCAACTATTGTAAGATGCAACTCCAAGAGACTTGTAAAATTAGATGCTAAATTGTGAGATTTAGTCATTATGTAAAATAGAAAGCCCATCTAAAATGTAGAGTTTTATAATAGCCTATCTAAATTGAAAAACACATATAGCAAGCAGAACTCGCTAGGAAAATATGACCAGCGAAAATGGTGAGATAGCCATATGGAAAAAATAAAAAACAATATAGACAAGCTGTTGAAATGCTTTTTTGAGCACAATAGCTATAAATGGCTTCACGAATACATTTACCCAGTCTGTTGGAGTTGCTCTCCCTCTATATCCTTTCTAATTTATAGGAATAGAGATTTTGGTTAAAAAAATTATCCTCCAACAACCTTTAATTAGATCTCCAAATATAGACATCCTCTATTTCAAATTTCTTGCTAGGCAAAGACGAAGAGTGAGGACTACTCTCTAGAGTGGCCATAAAAATAGAAAAGTTGTTGAAGGTTATAGAGATATAAAAATGATGTTTATTCAAATAACTCTTCAAATAATAATTTAAAGAGTAATTTTTTTAAAACTCTGGAAGAGGCTCTAAAGATCCTTATCGACGTGTAATGTGTACACACAATCCTAACCGTACGTAAATATCTCTTCTCCTTCTCTAACAAGGAAGGAGGAAAAAAGAGACTTTAAGTTCACGCGCACGATGTTATCTCTTCCGTCCAGTATAGTATTGTACCGTTTCACACGTACACCCAATCGATATCCATGCCAAATAAATAAACCCTAAACAGGAGGAGACTAGCGGCGGCTTCGCGTAGCATGCTTCAACTCTCGTGTCTCTCTAGTCACGGCTTTCTCGATGCCGCCGGCGTCGTGGACTGCGACGGCTCGTGCGTCCTCGACGGCGGCGGCCCGTGCCTCCTCCACAGCGGGCTCTGCTGCCCCGCCGATTCGCTGGACGACACCGTCGTCATAGAATTCATCAACAACGAGAAGTTGTTGGAGGACCTTGTCATAGCCGCCTCGCTGCCGCCGGGCACGGAATTATTGCTGCCCACCGCCGCCGAGCGCGGGTGCCAGGGCGTTTCCTCTGCAGGTGGCCCGCCACGGCTGCCGGTGCGCTCCCCGCTATCGTCGGGCAGCAACAGCTCATGGACGGCATGGCATAGGACGTCCAGTTTGGCGGCCGAGCCGCCGCCGCCGCCTCCGTCGCCGGCGGCCGTCTCGCGGCTCGTCGTGCCGAAGAGGAAACGGGACAGGTCCGTCATGCGCGGCAGGCGACCGTGGTCGCTGGACATGCCAAGCATCATCCCTACACCTCACGCAGCTAACCCTAGCAGCAGCAGCGGCAGCAGTGGAGTCCGGCAGCAGGGCCTGGTGCCGCAGCCGCCGACGAACAGGCGGCGAGTTCAGAGGGCGTGCAGCCACTGCGACAGCACGGAGACGCCGCAGTGGCGTGCGGGGCCGGGCGGGCCAGGCACCCTGTGCAACGCGTGTGGCTTACGGTACACCCTGAACAAGCTACTGCCGGAGTACCGGCCGTCGACGAGCCCCAGCTTCCAGAGCGACAAGCACTCGAACCGCCACAGGAAGGTGGTCAAGCTAAGGGAGAGTAACGCAAAAGACACGGTAGTCAGCAGCATGCCACCGGCGCCGCCAGGCGACAGTGGTGAATTCAAGGATGTTTTGTAAATACATATTTCATTCACCAGGTCGGTGGCATCCAAGCAAATTGACTGTAGTCTATTATTTTATTCTTGTTTTGGATTCTAAAGATTCATTCATGGACAAGTTTGTAACTGTATATATATCAACATGTTGCTGAGGACATGGTTTTGACATGCATCCAATTGATCATGGCTACTCTCATATGCTTTTGGTTGTGGTTTTGGATGTGCTACAAATTAGCAATGTATCCATCCACTTTGTAACGAGCAAATTTAATGGAGACATCAGGTGATGTATGCTACCAAAATCTTATAATCATATGCATGGAGAAAATCTCTTTGCAGTGTTGGGTAATTTTCGGGCTTGCGTTCATTCTTGGATTTTCTATATGTATATGTTCCTTTTATGTTTGTAATCAATACTTGTAGTATATAAACATGTGCCCAATACAGAATCCATGTGAGCGTAGGTGTGATCGCTATGATGTTTGGTGATATTATTGTTTTTCTTTCCTTTCTTTTTTTTGATGATTTAGTGCTCAAACAATTACTTTCATAGTCAGCATGACAAAGCGCGCTAGATGATGGTGGTGAGTTCGTGGATGTTCTGTAAATACAAATATATCTTAGCTCAGTGACGCCCAAGTAATTGATTTTAGTCTATAATTTGTTCTTGCATTGAATTCTAAAGATTCATTCATGGATATGTTTGTGTGTGTGTGTGTGTGTGTATATCAACATGTCACTGATGGTAGGGTTATAAAACCATTCAACTTATTTTATCATGGCTACTTATATACTTTCGGCTGGTATTTTGGATATTCTAGAAGTTAGTAATGTATCCATCCACTCATGTAAGGAGCAAATTGAATTCAGAGGCATCGCATAATGTATGCTACCAAAATCCTGTAAGCATGCATGGACAAAATCAGTAAATCACTTTGCAATGTTGGGTAATTAATCAGGGCTACGCTCATTCGTGATGGTTTCTATATATGTATATGTTCCTTTAATGTTTGTAATCGATACTTGTAATGTATAAACGTGTGCCCAGTACAGAATGTGTGTGTGCATAGGTAGAAAATAGGTGATCACTATGATGTTTGATGCTATTGTTATTTTTGTTGCCTTTCTTTTTTGTTTATAAGGGTTTGCCAATTATGGGTAGTGTATTATATTCAATTTTGTGCCTATACATGCATATGTCTTGAATGTTTATTTTTTATCATGCTAGAGTGATTCAGAACTTTGACATGAGAAAGGGTGTTAATATTAATGAAGTTACTGATGTGATATAAAATGGGATAGAAAAAATGGTGATGGTGTTTGGCAACTAGAACACCAAGGTTCAACTGAAACAACATTTCATGTTGATTTGGTGCTCAAACAATTACTTTCATAGTCAACATGGCACAAGTGCTAGACGACGATGGTGAGTTTATGAATGTTTTGTAAATATAAATATATCTTGGATCAGTGACATCCAAGCAAATTGACTATATCTATTATTTATTCTAGCTTTGGATTGTAAAGATTCATTCACAGATATGTTTGTAAATGTATATATATCAACATGTCACTGACGACATGGTTATGACATGCATCCAATTGATTGTGGCTACTTATATACTTTTTGTTGGGGGTTTTTGGATATGCTACCGCTACCAATAGGCAATGTATCCATCCACTTATATAAAGAGCAAATTTCATTTAGAGACACCGTGTGATCTCTGCTACCAAAATCTGAAAGAAAGCAATGGACAACATCTCTTTGTGGTGTTGGGTAATTAATTTGGCTTACGTCCGTCCCTGATGTTTTCTATACATGTATATGTTCCTTTTGTGTTTGCAATCAATACTTGTAATGTACAAACATGTGCCTAGTTCAAAATGTTTGTATGTGTGTATATAGAAATTTGGTGATCACTTTGATGTTTGATGATATTGTTGCTTTTCTTTTTATAAAGGGTTCACCAATTATGGGTAGTGTATTATATTCAAATTTGTGCCTATATGTGAATGTCTTGTATGTTCAAATTTTTATCATGAAATAAGAATGATTCCAAAACTTGACATGATATAGAGCGTTAATATTAATTAAGTTACAAATGGGCTAAAACAGAAAAAAGGTGATCATACTTGGCAACTAGAACAACAGGCTTCAAATGAAACAACATCCAAAATAATTTTTCATGTTGATTTGGTGCTTAAACCTTTCCTTTCATAGGCCATGGCACCAGTGCTAGACGGGGCATTGGTGAGTTCATGGATTTCCTATAAATTATATCTTAACAGGTCTTCGACATCAAAGCAAATTGATTATAGTCTATTATCTATTATTTATTTGGATTCTAAAGATTCATTGGTGGGTATGTTTGTAAATGTATATATATCTATATATGTCACTAACGACATGGTTATGACATTATTCAATTGATTTTATCATGGCTACTTGTATACTTTTAGTTGGGATTTTGGGCATGCTACCATTTAGCAATGTATCCTTCCACTCATGTAAGAAGCAAATTTAATTTAGAGACATCGTGTGATATATGCTACGAAAATCTTATAAGCATGCATGGACAATCTCTTTGCAATGTTGGGTAATTAATTTGGGCTTGCATTCGTGCTCATGATGTTTTTTTATATATGTATATGTTCCTTTTGTGTTTGTAATCAATCCTTGTATGTTCCTAGTACAGAATGTGTTTGGATGGGTAGATTATCAGGTGATGCCATGATGCCTCATGCTATTATTGTTTTTTTGTTTTTATTTTCTCTTTTGTTTATAAGGGTTGGCCAATTATGGTAGTGTATTATATTCAAGTTTGTGCATATGCATGCATGTCTTGTATGTTCAAATTTTTATCGTGAAGCTAGAGTGATTCAAAATTTGACATGAGATAGGGCATTAATATTAATTAGTTGTATAGGGGTATCAAAAGGGACAGTAAAAAAAGGTGATCTAGCTTGCCAACTAGAACAACAGGCTTCAACTGAAACATCCAAAATAAATTTATTTTTTAGGGTAACTTTTATGTTGATTTGGAGCTCAACCCATTCCTTTCAAGTCCCAAAAAATGGTCATATATGCCTTAAATATTTAGTTATATTGTGCAAAGAACCCATACATATTACATATCAAGAGAGCATAGTCACGAAAATGCTCCTACATGGTTATCAATGGACCAACCAATTCAGGATAAACTATGACAGCAATACACCATGCAATATGTTTGGTCAAAATGGTCTCAACAAGCCAATTAATCGCCAAAAACCGATATACAACTCAACTTAATACAGATTCAGGAAAGTATCCATTTATCATTACTTTACAAACAAAAAAGAATAATTAGGAATTTGGGATGAAAAAAAATAAAACACACCAGCCACTTTCTGGCACCTATCTCCTGCCTTAAGCTACTTCATACATAACAAGCATATTTGCTAACTCTACCCTCATCTTTGCTCCAAACATGCTGCATCAAAGAAGATAATATTAGCAACATCGTCAGAGGAAGGGAATGAATGGCAGAGACATAGACCTCTAAAAAAACATGAAAAACTTCGCATGGAACATGATTTTTGGACATCTAGATTCTAGAAGCTACTAGTGTGCATAAATGTATCATAAAAGTCAACATCGTGATAAAACTAATGATATTCGAGTATTATCTACCAGGCTAGATAATTGTAATGTGAAACTTTCAGAAAAATGAAATATGCATGCAAAAAAGGTTTAGTAATGATTATGAACCCCCTTTTTCCTTAAAAAAAACTCTTGAAGGTGTACCATCCAGAACCTAATTTTGAAGCACTTTACTAATCAGTGTAACTCTCTTTTGCCTCTTCTTGTACCTAGTCTGCAACATTGCAGGATTTATAATTTGTAGATACCACAATAGCATCTTTATGCATTACTACATGCATTAAAACAAATGCTAGGAACAAAACTGTTTAGAGCAACTTAAATACCCTATGGTGAAGCTGGAATAAGAGATTCACTCATCAATCAATATTTCTATTGTGATGTCTAGAATAATATATACACTTATTCACCAGCAGCTCTATCGTGAAATTATTCAGTCTTGACTTTCTAGGGAAGCATACCATACCATACCATAAACTATAGACTAATGTGTGAACAAAATTAGAAGTAAAGCCCAGAGATTCACAAGATGATTATATTTAGTCTCACCTTTGTGCTGTAATCTAGCTTTTACTTTTCTCACTTTCAAAGTATTTGAGTACACCATATCCAACCGTACCAGCCAAAAACAGAACAACTGTTGGAGTGAATGATGGATAAAGGTACTTGACAAAGAAGTTGTCATATTCCTCTGGTAGAAAACCTGCATGACATACAAGTTCAAAATATGACTACTTGGCTCAACAGTTCTGCAGTACCAAAAGTTTTTTGGCATATATATCATTTACTGGATGAGTAAGACTCATAAATCAACTAGTAGTTAAGTGACCTGTACATAACTAAATGTCCCTTACATTACAATAGGTATTACTGTTTCTGGTGCTCGACACACTCTCATTTAGATGATCAAAGGTAAATATTTTCTTTGGTAGTTTTGTGCATCATTCTACACGCAAGTTCAGTTTCATGTCACTGATTACTTCAGCATATCATGGTTCAGGATTCAGGAATCGTGCCTGGCAATTACAGAGTTGTGATGATTGCTGCACCAAGATCTTCCATTTGAAGATTTATCATGTCTTTAGTACTATAATGTGATTTCTGTTAGGTGCAGTATCAGTTAAAACTTAGGGTCGTTTCCATGTTTGAATGTGTGCGATTTACCATAGGAAGTTATAGGATGGTCTGAAATCTTTTGCCATGTGGGCTGAAAAGCTACCACAGGGTCACCATCGTGGCAATTTGCCACAAATAAAGCGCCATCCTCTATTGATGTAGCTATATGTACTCACACAGTTCAACACTAAAGTTCCTCTTTTTTGGGAACTATAGTGACATCTAAACTGAATTCACCAACAGTCCATCACATCACCATA